GGAGCACTCAACGAGGACGTGGACATACTGGCTCTAGATAGTACAGTAGTTTAACAAGTTAAGGAACAGAAACTAAGCGGTATACAATATATACGACGATGGTGGTCTCTCCTCAGCTCAAATCCAAGGGTCACGGTGATGAAGTGTTACGAGGGAGTCCTATGCTCGGAATAATTACTGCTATTCATCATGAACCAATGTAGATGAACCCATATAGCTTGAGGAAGGTGTACTCGACAGTGTAGACTAGAAACTGATCCAGCATTGGATCTCTAGCTCAACACTACATGCATCCTGGGAACGCGTCCGAGGAAGCTACATCTGGGAAATTGCTTGCTCACTACGATGAACCGCAGAAGACTTCCAGGAAGAAAGAGGACTCGACATCGAATGAAAACCACAAAGAAGCTTCTGCATATCGTTACAGTGGGATTTTGAACTGCAAACATAACGTCCCGAAACATCCATTGCAGGCGGTGATTAGCATTGGCCATATCATCCAAATAAGTAGACGATACATGAGAGCATCAATAATATGCGAACGACTACTTACTAATGGATCGTGAAATGTAACGTTGAGGTTCAACGGTAGCCGAAACACGTTCAGCAGTTGAACGGGTATTGGTATTTCTCTTGCTCACTGAGATACGCTTTGAACCCATGGAACAGCTGCATGCTACCAGCCACACTACCCTGACTAGGTCTTTCTATCTCGAGGTAGATGACTGTACGGACTAAACACGTCGAGTACATGGATTACATTCTAACAGTAAAGCGAAGTCAAGCGGCCTATCACGTGCCGTCTCAACTTCCTGCTAGTATACAAATGCGCCTTCCATAATGATGCTGTCAGCGAAATGATTGAGCATACATTCTTCCAGACCCGTCACCGACTACCATTCTGCCACTTAGGCTCCATCACATCACCAGATCCTGGCCACCACTGCTGCAGCCCCTCGATAAGCAACGCTCTCCAGCGATGCTGCTTATAATAATCAGCTTATTCGACGAAGAGGACGAGTGCATACAAGCAATGAAAGAGCTTCTCAAGGCATACCGAATATGGCCACGCGATAGTTGGGGGATCAACGCGGTACGAAAGCTCGCCACTGAAACGGTCATGCAGAAACATTATCCAGGATGTCGGGATGATCGACCAGGACGGGGCTGCGGTGAGTTAACGGCTGCCCCCGAGGGCTCAGCCGACAGCAATTGTTCGATCTCACCACCAGATATGTGGAACTTCTCACATATAGTTGCAAAGCACTGTGGTTTAGATGGAATAACAGCCGACTCCCATTGGATCGACACCATGGTGACCTGCACCATACCAACATCTTCCCGCGCAAGGCTGGAAACAGCTCGTACTACCTGCGGCATGAGCTTGCATACAGCACTGCAGAGCGCCAAGGCACTCCGGCGAGTCATGACATCCACACAACGGTCGAATATTCTAGTGATATGAGACTCATCGAAGGCGTCCTGTCGAGCCACGAGAGCATCTTCTATAGTGCTCTTCAATGAGGGAGCTACCTCAAGGACATCATCTGTGGATGCTATAGTTTCGATACAGCTGACCTAAACCCACTCTTAGCATGGCTACTTCTTTATGCCCCTACCAGTGCTCCAGGGGACATCGAGTTCCACTTCCGCACGAACGCTCTCCGCCATACTTTCCAATTGAATGCATCAGGCACCTTTGTATGGGCTGCCCAGTAACCAAATAATGCGACTTGAGGCGGCGACAGCCTTCCGATGTAATCCGATGCTGCCGCCACCGGCATGAGCATCTCTGTGACACTATCATCAGGTCGAATAGTACACGCTTCTATGGTCCCTGAAAAATGACAATTCATTGCATTCAATCACGTTACTCCTACGAGCTATATCGCCCAAGTGCAGAACCCCGTCCTCATGCGCTCCCACAATCGCATTGACACACGTATGGGTCAGCT